TTAGCAAGGTAGGCAACACCTGACGATGTCCGTACGCGGCCGAAACACTTAATGAGGATGAAGGGTTGCTAGATAATGGGTTGCATTTAAGACAACAATATATGTGCACAAAAGGTAAAATATAAGTCTGAATTTTGTTTGGACTTTTTAGATTATAGGAATTTTTTATTGCGAAAATCTAATTCATATCATCATGTAATGTAATGAGTAAACACTGAACAAATTTGTCGACAAGGGATCCTTCAGACCGGTTTTGGAGAGGCATGTTTATTGTTACAATTTCGTCAGACGTAACTATCCTGACTGGAAATTTTATTTACAGATTAAAGCGGTTGTGCTACTTTAAAATAGACCACGATCTCTCACTTTCTTTTCCTTGCATTCATCAGTCTTCCCATTCAACGCTGTATGTAAAGAAGATGGCTCAAAACGTCAGATATCATAATTTTGGGACTTGTTATTTCACGATGCTGTCAGTAGCTAGACTCTATGGCGTCGAATGATGGATGCACGATAAATTGGAAATGATTTGCAAGGAAAGGATCGTGACTTAATCAAAGTATTGTCTCGGCATTTGTTTATGGCCGCTGGGGAAAATCACGAAAACTTCAGCTATGTTCCAGCCGAGATTCGAATCGAGCACCTCCCGAATAGAAGTCTGGAGTCCCGATCTGTCGAGATGGTACTGATAAACCAATGTGTGTGTAGGTTTTTTTATGTAGTCTTGTATCTGAGAAATTTTATGAAGTTCCATTTGAGCGTCATATAATAAAATTGGCTAACACGTTTCTAGTAAGGTACCAAATTTCATCGAAGTGCAACGTGTCTTGTGGAATATGTCACTAGTCGGGCATGACAATCTAATTATTTTACGCTGTATTTAACTATCCATGGCTGTACAGCCCTTGTGGACCTTAGTCGCGTTTTCAGTTTCTTAATCTATACACAGTCGGTAGGACTCTTTGGGCGAGTGATCAGCCAGTTGCAAGACACTTACCTGCACACAGGACAACGCAAACACAGAATAAATGTAGACAGATATCCATGACTCGAGTGAGATTCGAACCCACGATCCCAGTGTTCGAGAGGGCGAAGACGGTTCATGCCTCAGACCGCGCGGCCGCTGTGATCTGCTTACACTTTATTTTCGGAGGGGAAATAATTCATGAAGCATTCATTACTCTTTATTTTAAGTATGATTCTAAATTATTATCGGGGTTTCCGTTTATAGGCCACGTAAACTCCGAGAATGGGGCACGCGGTAGCGTAGTTGGTTGAGGCACTATGCTACAAGCCGGAAGGTCGCGGGTTCAAGTCCCGATGAGGTCATTGGATTTTTTCTGTTTACCTAATCCTTCCAGCCACACTATGGCCCTGGTGTCGACTCAGCCTCTAACAGAAATGAGTACCAGGAATTAATTAAATAATTTTCCTCGGGAGTAAAGCGCGGCCGGCGCGTAAGGCTGACAAACTTACCGTCATCTATGAGCCGATTGTCTAGATAATGTGAGACCCTCAACGTCTCACAACCCTATGGGTCTTATGGCCTGTTACATGGATAGCTTTACTTTTTTTTTTTTACTTTACTTTTTAAACTTCGAGAATAATTCAGAATCGCCCTCTAAGTTTCTCGTAATTCCGCTGAATGTTTGCCCCATAAGAAACTGAAAGTGTCGGGAGTAAACAGTTAAACAGGGGTTGTTCCAGCAGTTCGTTGTAAATTATGTCATTTTATATTTTACGTTTTTTTCCCCCTTGGCACTACAGCCCCGGTGGGCCTAGGCCTACCTCCATGAACTTCTCCGTTTTTCTAGTTCTTACACGCTCGGTAGGACTCCTTGGGGGGTGTGATCAGCTCGTCGCAAGGCCATATTTTACGCTTGCCTGAATGAATATAGGTCGCGTGGGTGAATTCATATTTAGAACTGAGACAATTGGGCCCTGGACAGAGATGACCACATCTCTTCGTGCCTAATCTCTATTGTACCTAGAGACTTTCATCAAGTCACTTGTATAGAACCTTAAACAGTCACGGGGACCGACTGTGCCTCCAACATCAGGGAATTTCTGTGAACAGAGAATTAATTTTTGACACTTTGGAGACTCTGCAGCCGTCGTCATGGACTCTACTTATATGGAATATATTTTATTTCTGAGGTTCTGAATTGTGCTGTGCCCTTGCCTGATAAACCAAGGAGAGTTCATTGCTTTCGTTATGTTGATATTATGCGTTGTTTACTCTTTGTGCGCGAGATTAACTTTCACATTTGTGGGCGTGCCTGTCTGTATCTTTCAGCTCGTGAACCGCCCGACGGATTTTCTTTAAATTTGGTATGGACATTATGGTATCCAAAACTCGTTCACCTCAGTTACGTACAACATGACGGAATCACGAATTTATACTGTGGGAACTATAGTACCCTGAAATTATGCATGGGAACAGCGTCTGAATAATATGCAACTTTTGTTAAGGGGGTATCTGTAAAATGTATGGTAATAAAATGGCGGCTGCATGAAATCTGCGTGTATTTTTCGGTTTGAGAGCGATAACTAATGGATTATTGGAGTCAGGCATGTGAAATCTGGCAGGCTTACGAATTTTGCAGTAATCCTAACTAATTAAAGCACTGATGTGTTAGAACTATTGAATCGTTCGGATTATTGGATTTATAATTTTAAAAAATCGAAGTTTTTAGTAAAATGATTTATTCGAAAGATTTATAGGTGCTTTTACACGCGACTATAGCGGACATTCAACTACACACCGGGCACGGAACAACCGGAAACTGGGTTACATATTTCACCACATAGAAAGGTTAGTCCATTAACATGTAATATCATGTTTCACAAGAATTCACTTTTAATGCAGGGAAGTAAAATAATTAGGTTACATTTGTATTTTTTTAAAGTTCCTTCCCCATCCCCGTCCCCTTGTAAGTCAGTTCGAATTGTTCCATTGTATTGCTTCTAAGTCATTCAGTGAAAACAGGGAAATTGTGTGAATCTTTAATAATATTGTAACGTGTCGGCAAACCAGAGGAGTAACTTCTATGGAAACGCCAGAACAGACCGTTGCATAAGAAGTAACAATAGCGATACTGTAATTCCAACAGTGAGCTGTTGTATCGAGAACATCGAATCTCCACGGTAACGACAAACAAAGCAACGTCTCCATGGTTATAACAGAAGGTTTCTTTGCCTAGTAGCGGCGAGGGTATAAATAGCCCAGCTTCGATGAGAAGCCTTGAGTCTCGGAATAGTCTTCGAAGAAGAAAGTCGCGGAACAGCCATCGGAGAAGAAGCTTCGGAATATCCGTCTGGGTCCAGTATCGCCGGAATATTGTAAGCAGTGATTGTGACACTGCAAGTGAAAATGCCTGTAAAGTGTGTGTAAGTGAGCGAAAGGAATAAATTCGCTATATTGGGACAACGGCGTGAACTTATTTGTAGCGTGACACACAAACACGCTACAATATTATGCGCGAAAAGTTTAGACTTACTTAGAAAATGAAAGTAATCAAATTATGATACTACTAATATGTTCTTAAAATCTACATATTTGTAACAGCTAGGAACATTCATAATGCAAGGATAAAAAAAACGCACGTGGGAGCTGTATGTTCCGGCACGTGTTATGCCTTTTCAATCTGTTTGCCGATTGTACGAGGGATATCCGGGAAGTAAAGATACAAATACAGTAACAAAGCAAAGTCCCCCCCCCAGAAATGGCAGCACTGTCACGTGAGATAGGAACCATATGACAGGGCTGAGTTCACCCGCCAGAGTCACGGCAACGTTGTGCTCGCAGTGTGTGTTAAAAATGGCGGTGTCAATTCAAAATCCCGCCAAATTTGAGGTTCGTGCAATTATTCGATTTCTCCACGCGAAAGGAGAAACTGCTGCTGAAATTCATCGTCAACTTGTTTCTGTTTGCATTGAAGATGGGATGAACAGGCAAAACATGGCGAAATGGTGTCGTGAATTTGAAGCAGGAAGAAATTATGTTCTTGATGAAATAAGGAGTGGAAGGTCATCCATTGTAACTGATGAAAATATTCGTGCTAACAGACGTTTAATCATCGATGAACTTGTAAGATTTGAGGCTTTCACGGCGGTGACTATGAAGAAAGCAGTCTTCTGGGATTTGGCACCGTGTATATGTGGTGTTAACCTACGTTTCGGAGGAACGTATCGCCTCCATCTTCAGGGTAGAAGGAAAAATATAAATCCGCAAGCGAAGAGACCGTGAGACTGCTTTTACCGGTTCTTACGGTCTCTTCGCTTGCGGATTTCTTATATTTTTCCTTCTACCCTGAAGATGGAGGCGATACGTTTTTCCGAAACGTAGGTTAACACCACATATACACGGTGCCAAATCCAAGAAGACTGCTTTCTTCATCGATGAACTTCATCAACAATGTCCAGACGTGTCAAGAAATGTTCTTCATGATTAAGAGAGCAGATGGGAGACCTACGACGCTGAAAGAAACGCGTTCCAAGGCTCACTAAGCGAATTGCGATCCGTGATGACTGTGTTGAAAAGTAAATAAAGTTGTGTTGTAAAAGCGCTGCAAGTGAATCCCTCTAAAATTTTCTTTCAAATATATTCTGGACTTTGTATCTTTACTTTCCGGATATTTTTCATAATTCACGCAATGAAGGTGAATTTGATATATTGTACTAACCCTACATTTTTTTTTAAGTTGCTGAGGGCAACCACGACATACTTCAGCTAGGATACCTTCTCTGGGCCCACATTTTCTATCCACTGACCGCAACGTTCTGTGTTCAGGTTTGGAGTGGCCTCAATTTCATAACGCTCATATGAAATTTCATGAAAATCTGTCCCTTTTTATTCTTCAGATGTTTGAAGGAAGACACTCAGCATTGTGATCTCTTATATTGCATGTTTTCTTTGAGGCTTTAAGAAACCGGTTAAGGAGCTGCAGTAGGGACACTCCTGAGCGCCCTTTAATTTTGTGGTTGTCTGTGTGTGACAGGTTGCGTGTTGCTGCAAAAGATGGTGCCGAGGATAACCCCGAGCAATCTGCAGGTCACGCCGAGGGGTCGGGTCACGCTGGCGATCTCGGACACGGAATCTGGGGATCTGTGTGATGAGTTCTTGGCCCCTGAATACAGACCTGGACTTCAGGCCACTTGCGAAGCAAGCTTGGAGAAGGTACGTTCCTCTGTGTTCTGGAAACCCTGCGCTGAGCTTGAATTTTCTGAGTTTGTTATACCCGCCGTCTTCGCCTGCTCGAATTTTTGTATTATGGGTTCGAATCCCACTCGAGACATGAATATATGTTTGCTTTTATTCTGTGTTTACGTTGTCCTCTTTGTATGTAGCGGCCTTACGACAGGCTGATCCCCCGTCCGAGGAGTCCTACTGACTTTGTATAGGATTAAGAAAGTGAAAAAGCGGCCAAGGTCCAAGAAAGGACTGTAGAGCTATATATATTTCGCTTAGTGGAAGGAGTTCAACTGGGTCCACTCGGCACGGCGGCCACTGATTGGCCTATTGTAGCCTGCCCCGGGTGATTATGATGATGGAGAATTTGGTGGAATGAAGATTGGCAGGGGAAACTGAAGTACTCGGAGAAAACCCGCCCCAGCGCCTCTTTGTCCACCACAAATCCCACTTGACCAGACCCGGGATCGAACCCACGCCGCCGCGTTGGGGCCATATATAGTTAGTAGGCAGAAAATAATTTTAATTTGAGGGATATAATAAAATCCGCCGAACGCTATACCAGCATGACATAGAACCACAACTTTCCACGAGCATATTTTCGAATCACCGAGTGATGTCTTCTTTGAAATTTGTGGGGTTGAAGATCAAGCCACAGATAGTAAGATGGCGTGGGATATGTAGCTTCAAAGGGGAAGATCAGAAATGCGTAAAAAATCTTAATCCCAAGAACTTAAACGAAGAGATCAAGGCGTAAATTAGTGCAAAATATTACTCCCCCCCCCCCTTCGAAAGAAGAGGTTTAGGAGTGTGAACTGAATTCCAGTAACTGGTTCTTATGAAAACGGTGCTGCACCTTCAGGTTCAATAAAATGCATCGGAACGGCTTGTCCAACTGAGCGACTATAATTTTTTTGTAAAGCATTCTATCCCTTTTCGTCAACAGCCAGTATCATAGGCTTTTCAGAATAATTTTACATTATTGCTAGTGGGGAGGGACCAAGTCCCTTGTACTGCGGTCACTTCCGGCCCATTGTACCAGCCCCAAATGATAAGTGAGGATGATTGTGGAGCAATTGGTGGAATGAAGATTGGCAGGCGAAACCGAAGTACTCGGAGAGAACCTGCCCCAGCGCCACTTTGTCCCCCACAAATCCCACTTGACCAGACCCGGGATCGAACCTGGGCCGCCGCGGTGGGAAGCCAGCGACTAACCGCTTGAGCTATGGCGTGGCCTAATTTTACATTAAGTCTGACCCAAATTGTTTAGTTGTCCATCTTTTGGGTGCTGCTTGTATCTGCCGCAACAACTCTATAGGCGTGTTACTGAGTCTGTTACAAACGTCAGTACTGTGAGTTCAATCTATCGAGATTTTACTGCTTCGAAATTATATATTTTGCTTTAGATATAGTATTTAAAAGATAATCTGGAGGATATGTTAGATTATATAAGATTTGATGTTTGCACGGCGGTGACTATGTAGAAAGCCATCTTCGGGGATGTGGCGCCTTGTAGATATTGTGTTAACCGACGTTTCGGAGGAACGTATTGCCTCCATCTTCAGGGTAGAATAAAAATGAAAATCCGCGAACGAGGAATCAGCGTGAGTAGGTGCTGACAGCACCTGGTTTCTCTCGTGGATTTTCTTTTATCTTCTACCCTGAAGATGGACCAAATAAATTCCTCCGAAACGTCGGATAACACAATATCTACACGGCGCCACATTCCAGATGACGGCTTTCTTCATGTTAGATTATAATTTAGAGAGCAGACTGAAAAGAGAACGAGAGTTATCTGAGTAAGAACATATCAAAGTTGCTTTAACTTGTGACGGTGATGAAGCTTTCAGTTCTCGAACTACAGTGGTTCTGTTAATCGGGTGAACATATATAAATTGAGGCAAGAATATTCTGAACTTCTCTGATTTCATACTAATATACACTGGTAACTGTGAACCGCATATAGTATCGTCGGCCAGTTTATTTTGCCATGAGGTTTTAAGATCTGACATCTATGGCTTCCTTAAATACCATTGGTTTTTGTAATATATTGTCTGTTTTCTTGAAGGTAATATATGACTTTTAAAACAGAATGTGGATAAACGTCGTCTCATAAAAGGTTAAACGGTAAACAGCCTTTGCGTGTTCCAGACGGAATAGCAATATGGTCACGGAAATAATCGTAAAAAAATTTTTCCCTTGGCACTACAGCCCCAGTGGGCCTAGGCCTACCTCCATGAACTTCTCCGTTCGGTTTTTCTATATCTTACACATTCGGTAGGACTCCTTGGGCGGGTGATCAGCTCGTCGCAAGGCCTCTACCTGTACACAAACACAGAAAAACGCACACACACAAACTAAACATCCATACTCTGAGTGAGATTCGAACCCACGATCCCGGTTTCCAAGCGAGCGAAGAGAGTACATGCCTTAGACCGCTCGGCTACCGTGACCGGCCATCGTAAACACTCACTTTATTAAATTTTAAAGGGACCCTTAACGTTGATGTTCTCATCTACTTGTGCTGCCTGTTCCAACGGCCCTGTAACAAGCAAACTCTATTGATGACTAACGTTCTTCCTCACGGAATTAAGAATATCATCCTCGAATTCATTGGGAGAGCTGGAATTTCACTTTATATGATCAACATTTCCACTTCATTCCAGTGATTTGAAAACAGAAATGTAGATCCTTCGTGTAGGCCTCTCTGAACATTGTAAACACATTGAGGGACTTATAAATTAATTCTTGTTCTTCCGTCTCAACGCAACAACTATCATAATCTCATTCACACTCACTGTGTGCGTGTATACTGAGTTTATTGGTCTTATGGTATGGCAGTGTGCTACATGTTTCGGGTTATAAAACCATCATCAGGCAGTATACACTAACAAGTGTTCTCAAACCACTGAATTGAGTTTTATATGAATTCATATATTACAATATAACAATTGGTATTAATGTACAGAGTTAATATATTCAGTATTTCCTTAGAATTAGTACATTAATACATTAAGGAACTGAACAGCTCGTATTCTGGAGGTCTTTGGTTAAGATCTAGATTCGGAAACCAGACGCTCTGTCTCTGACGTGCTTCGTGGCTTTCCTCATTCACTCCAGACCATTACCACTACCTTCCGCATAGTTTCCAGTTTTGTATTCACAGATCTTAGTAGCATTCGACAGTATAATCTGGGTTCCTAATGCGCCAGACAAATAATACGTATGTAAAAAACGCATATTTCGTGAACATCTATTTTAAAGTAATTCTCTAATCAATTTCTCTTCTTCTAGATTTTCTACTAAAAAAGAAATATGCATTTCTTATATCTCATGCGTGCTGCATACCCCGCTTACTTACCCTCGTATAAAGCGGTCTCCGTAGTCTAGAGGTAACGTTCCCACCTCATGACTCCTAGTACGCGGGTTCAAATACCCGGCGGAGGTCATCGATTTTTTAAGGGCGGAAAAATTCAGGGAACAAGTCCTCCGGGAGGGACTTTGAGCCGTGGGTCCCGTGTCGTAGCTTTACAGCACGTAAAAGAACCTCATATCTCCAAAGGAGGTCACTGAGCCAAATTACGGACGTTTCCCGCCCAACAGCAGTCTCTAATACCTCTGGTAGATGGGGAAAGCATTATAGATACCTCTCAGCTAGTAGAGCCGGTCTCGCTGGCTGGGCGGGACTGATGGTAAGCACCAGTACCGGTAGGATATAGAAATAGATAGAATATCTTAGAGGGAAGCACAGTACATCAAACTGGTCGCGGTGCATGGGGAAACCCACCCTCTCTAAATAACTAACTACTTATCCTCCTTAGTTTGACGACACTGGCAATTACAAACCTCTTTCTCCAGCCTCTCAAAGCAATTTGTTCCTCTTGTGTTGGAATTTATACAGCCAAGGACGGATTTTAACACGCATGCATAGTGATTTATGAAACGATGTCAGATTATATCTAAAGTCATCGTTGATAAAAAGGGCTGACTGAATTTACCGGTGTTTCCAGGGAAATATATTAATCATTGACAGTATTGTCCCTTGATTCAGCACCGTGCAGACACTGCAGCTCATACAATTACAACGCGAGAGTGAGACTAATAGCGGAAGCGACGATTTTCAACTCAATTATTCGAACACACGTGGAAATATTTACCTCGTATAAAATTTTAGGTATTGGTGCTCGTAGCGTTGAATCTGTTGACGGGGGGGAGTCATTATTCGTATCAGTCCATTGTATAACAATAACATCGTTACGCCAAAATATTGAATTGTGTACCCGTCCTTCCCTCACATGACAGTTTTAATTACATTTGAATTGTGTTTTTTTTTTCTTTATTTATCTATCACTATGTACAACATATTTCGGTCATTATGGGACCATCATTAGGTAAAATGTGCAGCTCTGTTAGCTGGTACACTGCATCTGCTAGAGGTACTTGTCAATGGAATTAAATTGGAACTATAAAAATAAAATACGTCTGAGCTTAGCGTAGCGTTAGCGTCAATGTGCAGCGTTTCATTGACTTTTTTTTTATTTTACCATAATCCATAAATATTTTGGGTTTTGACTCTATATTGTGTGTCATCAGGCGAGCGGCAGCGAGTAAACCAGTTCTGTGTGAGCTGACGATAACTTGCATAGATCTGATTCGGTTTAAGTAAATCCAGTCCGCTGGTATGATACATATCTCTAAAATTAATATCTGGATTGGTATGTGCTTAAATGCGAACGGCTTGTTACACAGTTGTAATAAGTTAACGTGCTCTGTCTATCTATGTATCTGTCTAGCTATCTATATATCTATGGCTCTGCAGGCATTTTGTTTGTACTGTGGCCGCTTTTTCAGTTTCTTAATCGTGTACACACTCGGTAGGACTCCTTGGACGGGTGATCAGCCCGTCGCAAGGCCGCTGCCTACACACAGGACAAACAGAAACACTGAATAAGCGTACAGAGACATCCATGCCTCGAGTGGGATTCGAA